ATGTCTCATATTTGTTTTAAGAACAATATTGTGAAAAATATATTTGTTCCGTAAGAACAATATTGTGAAAATATATTTAGTTCCAGAAGAACAATATTGTGAAAAAATATATTTGTTCTAGAAAATAATATTGTGAAAATATATTTGTTCCAGCTATAACAATATTGTGAAAATATGTAAGAGAAATCATCTATGTTATATGCATACCTCGATTTTCTCCCGAAGTAGCAATATCTAAAAGAGGTTTTAAAACTATCATACCTTATGTGGTTAAGGCATATTTAGATGATCATGTTCCATTCCCCGAAGAATGAGAAATTAAGAACTTTTGATAAATGTTACAAATATAGATTCAATACGTATCTAGTCCCCGAAGTGAATGTGACATAATACTTAATAAAATCTTTGAAGTTTACTCCCGAAGTAGTAAATTTGAAATTTACTTCTAAAGCAAAGCATCAAAATCCATATGGATGCTATGGTCTTGAAACACCATTAAAAGTGAAAACAAAGCATCAAAAATTCATATGGGTGCAATGGGTCTTGGAGACACCATTAAAAGTGAAAACAAAGCATCAAATCAAGATCGTGCTAATGCTATGATATTCTTGCGTCATCATATTGACGAAATTCTTAAAATTGAATATCTCACGATTAAGGATCCACTTGTTTTGTGGAATAGCCTAAAGAAAAGGTATGACCACCTCGAAGATGGTCATCCACCCAAAGGCACGATATGACTTGATCCATCAAGACTATAAATTTGTTAATGAGTACAACTCTTCAACATTCAAAATTATTTCTAAGTTGAAACTATATGGAGAAACTATAAATGATGTTGATATGATTGAATATGTGGTAGTATACAAAATTAATTGAGAGCTCCGGAAGAGCTAACGTATTACTACCTGAAGGAATGAAATTGTTGTAGTAAGTCTCGAAAGGAAACTTATAAGTTTCAAGGACATTGAAAAAAAATTGAGACTATAAATTATGGGAAGATCATGCTACTACAATTGAAGCGGGTTATAAATATTTATGTAAAAGATTACCCGCCCTGTCTTTTATTGGTAGTACATAAATATGGGTATGATGATGAAATCACATACCAGCAACTAGAAGTTTACTAAAATAGTTGGCATAACCGGCTGGCCATCCCTGCCCAAATGTGATGCAAAATAATTGAGAATTCATGTGACTATATATTGAAAAAATAAAAGATTCTTCAAGAATTCTCTTGTGTTGCTTGTTCTCATGATAGAATGATCTTGATCAGCTAAGATTGGGTTATATTCCTTGAAATTTTGAAACTTATAAAAGGGTGAATATGGGCCCATTCACCTACCATGTGAACCGTTTGCTAATAGATGCATCTATGCAATGGTCACATGTGTTTTGATATCAACTTGCAATTGATTTTTGTAAGGTTGTTGCTCAAATTATTAAATTAAGAGCATAGTTCCAAATTATAAAATCATGTTGATAATGTTGATTCATATCTATGTTGGTTTAGCAAAAATTGTATGCCTCCAATTATAGCTAAATCATTGATTATGAGAATAAAACTCCCAAATAAAATTTGGTATGAGATATGTTTATTTAACATATAGTAACACTTGAATGCATCAAGCCAACAAGGTTCCCCTATCACAATTGATTCAGGGTCAGGAATCGAATAATTCCATCTAAAAATTTGAATGTGCGCATATAAGGATTCAATTGCTCCACCACAACGCACAAATATGGGTCCCCAAATGAAGCTTGGGGGTAAATGTTAGTTTTTCTAACATTAGGGGAGAAGTGATTAGCAACCGAAAATTGAGTGTGGGATGAATTAGATCCTTGGGAAAAAAAAGTGAACTTAAAGTTCAATAGATAATTCACTTGCAAAATTTGCAAATCAATTCGTCGTGATATATTTGCTAACTCTATTTTTTATAATTCGGTTGCAAATGCTCCAATGAAAGGTCCTCAAGGACAAGGTTTATGGGACGCCTAAAGTGTGATAGACCAAAGTCAGCCTAAATATAGAACTCCTTGAAGAAGGAGAGGAGCAAATGATTATGATGGTCATACTTGATGAGGTAAAGTGCTTAAGAAAGCACCACGACATAACACTTCATAAAACCTGGCAAAGCACCAGTACCCGAAATGACGAAAATGAAGAGATCTCAATAAGTTATGTTGCATTGGAACTAATATCAAAATGATCGTCACGATACTTTGATACAATATAGCGCGCAATATTGTAAAAGACAGGAGGATCCGAATTCTACATCTATTAAAGCATGTTGATGTAGAAACAATTATTAAGTGAAATGATGCGATTGATGTTTTTAAAGCTTATTGACATGTAGTCCCACACTAGAAGATGTCACGCATTTAAATACTAATGAATGTTATCACTTGACAGAAATTCTGTATGAAAATCCCTCAAGGATTTAAAATGCCTCAAGCATATCATTCAAAGTCTCCGAAAATGTATTCAATTAGATTGTAAAGATCATTGTATGGTTTGAAGTAACTGGATGCATGTGGTATAAATCGTCTTAGTGAATATTTATCTAAGGAAAGTTATATAAATGATGAAATTTGCCCATGTGTTTTTATAAAGAAAACAACACCGGAGTTTGTCATACTTGTCGCTTATGTAGATGACATAAACCTTTATTGGAACTCCAATAGAGCTTTGAAAGACAATTGATTATTTAAAGAAGAAATTTTAGATGAAAGACCTTGGAAAGACAAAATCATATCTTGGTCTCAGAATTGAGCATTTGAAAATGGTGTCTTTATTCATCAATCGGGCTTATATTTAAAAGGTGTTGAAAGATTTTTATATGGATGACGTACATCCATTAAGTACTCCAATGGTTGTTCGATCACTTGATGTGAATAAGGATCCATTCGACATCAAGGAAAGGAATGAAGAAATTCTTGGTCCTGAGTACCATATCTTAGTGCAATTGGTGCACTAATGTATCTCACTAACACTACAAGGCCATATAGTCTTTTTCGGTTAATTTATTAGCGTATAGTTCTCATTACTAGAGGCATTGTAATGGGATAAAACACATAATGCGGTATCTAAAAGGGACTACCGATAAAGGATTATTTTATTCTAAAATTGCAATTCCGATCTTGTTGGTTATGCCTATGTTAGGTATTTATCCATCCCACACAAAGCTCGATCTCAAACTTGCTACGTGTTCATACGGAGTACCGCAATATCTTGGAGATCTACAAAGCGCCTATCATAGCTACTTCACATCAAATCATGCCGAGATAATACTATTCATGAAGCAAGCCGAGAATGTGTGTGGTTGAGGTCCATGATACATCTCATAGAGAAAAATGTGGTTTGAACTCGTGACAAAGTACCCACAATTCTTATATGAAGATAATGCCGCATGCAAGGGGCAATAACCAAAGAGAGGATTCATAAAAGGAGATAAAAACAAAGCACATCTCGCCAAAAAGTTTTTCTACACATGAGCTCCAAAAGAATAGTGATATCAATGTGCAAATGCATTCGTTCAAGTGACAATTTGGTTTGATGACAATTAAATTTACCAACCGCAACTTTCAAGAAGATGGTGCGGTAAGACGGATGCAAAGATTCAATGATGTTCTCATTAGGGGTTAATACGCGTTGTACTCTTTTCCCTTACGAGGTTTTGTCCCACCGGGTTTTCCTTGTAAGATTTTTAATGAGGCGCCCAAAATGCGTATTACTAGGTATGTGTACTTTTTTCCTTCACTAGATTTTTTCCCACCGGGTTTTTTCTAGTAAGGTTTTAACGGTATAATATTATCTATCAAATAGACATTCAATGGGGAGTGTTATAAACATATTTGTATTATAGTGAATGTCTATAAAGGTATTTGTATTGTAGTGGATACACGTGTTTATATTATAGTGAAAGTCTATTTTCATAAAAGTTGTGAGAAATTATCCCTATAAATAGAGGGATTCTCCATCATTGTATTTCATCCCATCAAGAGAAATAAAATTCCTCCTTCTCTCTTTCTCTACAATATTCTTATTCTTTCTTATTATTTCCATAACATAGACGTTAAATTTTCAAAGTTTTTCATATAATTATTTTTTTCTTTAATGAAAATTTTAACTTCATGTACCATTGTCCACCTATACTATGCTTCAATTCTAAGGAGCTTAAATTAATTAATAAACGAACGAGCAAACAAGAAAAAAATAAAAATACTTAATTTTCATTTAATATTTTATAAATTAATTAATTAAAATATTATATTAGAATAAGAATATATATGAAGAGGAACTTACTTGAAAGAGTAATTTAAAAATAAAATGAATCATTTTAGTTTTTATAATTAATTAATTTATAAAACATAAAAGATAATATCTATAACATTTTTAAAAATTATCTTTTTGATTTGATAATGAATAAATCGACTAAATGTAAAAGAGTGTATAAAAAAATATTGCACTTCATTTATTTGGCGCATACAATAGTGTGTAAAAAAAATCCAGGAAACACTCAAACTCCAAGGTTAGCCACATGGTTTAACCGAATGCACACAAAATCATGGAGTATCAAACAAGTATTAAATATCTCAATCAAAATGAATTATGAGGTGGTAGAAGTGAAAACGAATTCCTTAGTTGCACTCACGCTTATCAATGACGAAGATATCCAGCATCATCCATTTAGACCTATTATTAAAAATTACAAATATTTACTAAAGGCCAATAAAAACTATAATTAGACATATTTGAAAGGAGACAAATCAAGTGTGTCGATTTTCTGACAAATGATAAATACAATTATAAAGAGACTTAGATTTTCTGGAATAATGTATTTAAGAATATGAAATTTCTTTTCCTAGCTAATCTTAAGTTGTGTTACGTTGCTTATGAACAAGTTTAATGTCTTTAGTTAGTTCGTTTATTTCATTGTACCATAAAAGAAATTGGTTTTCTCATTGCCCCCGGCTAAAATACAATTCACTTTTAAGATGTCTTGGTGGTAAAATGGTAAACACGTGAGATTCAAAATATTGTGCTAAAGAATATGGAGGTTTGAATCCTCTTCAAGGCACAATGACATAACGTCCTGATTAATCAATTCATTTGTGAAGTCTCTTACGAAATCTTCCCTCTTTTCCTTCAATTACATCATAAAATCACTTGTAAACTTTACTATGACCATCCCTCATTTGTTGTCCTTGAATTTTAATATCAAGTAGTGTATTGATGGCTTATTGTACTAATTTATCCTGATACATTACTGTAGCACCCAGCGTAGATTACTTGTTGTTAATGTTAATCGATGGATAAGGGTATTTTTCCAATCGTTTTCACTATCACCCCAAAAAACTGTCATGATCGGAGCATAGACCCCGGACGCGACACGAGATGTAGAAGCATGAATGACTCCAAGCTAACCCATGGCACATACATAGCATGACTTAAGAGCATAGCTAAGAGGAATTAAAGCATAAATGTAATATAAGCGGAAGTCTGGAATATATATCATAAAAGCAAAAGGAAAGCCTAACAGTCAACAATGTTGATCATCTACTATATAACTGTTTGAAAGCCTCTATACATAAGATGAGATGATAGACAACACCCCTAATTAGCTTGTTAAGTCTGAAACTACAAGCCGTTGACATAGAGCATAAACTGATAAATATCCTCGGAAGATAAGGACTCACCAAAACTAGAGTAGAACTAGGCTGAGCGGGAGCGAGCTAATGACGGGACTGAGAAGGATCACTCAAACCAATATCATGAGATGATATAACATAGAGTATGCGGTCAGTACTTGAAATGTACTGAGTATGCAGAGAAAGTAAAACATGCTAGCAAAATGATGGTATGAAATCATCAATGTAAATCAAGATAAATCATGAAAGTAAGGACAACATGCTAAAAGTGTTACACCCCGTAGATTCCCGACACATAGATGGCCGATTCGCGTGTTGGTTAAGCGTATTTGAATGCCATACATGCTAGAAAAAGGCCCGGAGAAAAATCGGACAAGC